TCGATACCCACTTAACTTCCATGCCACATAAGCAGTAAACACATTCTTCAACAGTCTTCCACAACCTGGCACCCACAAAAGTTGTTCGAGGCCATCCACACAAGCCAGAATGACTTGGGTTACCATATTTCAAAAAGTGAAAATCTGGGCACAAGAGTTGTTGAACTTTTTCTGCCCAGACGCTGTTTATGGGGGGCAAATCCCGGCTATGTCTGGGACATTCCAGACGTATGGCAGCCCTAATGACCAATCAGGGATGATAGGAGAAAGTTTGACCTCCAAGCACCCATGCATTACCTTAGCCTTTCCATTTCACTTTCTCTGGACCCTGAAGTTGGGGGTCAAAGGCATGCCAACCTTTAAAAAGGTATATACTTTTAAAATTCTGAACTGATACACCCTAGACAGTGCTCACAGTTCTTAAACCTGCAAATGAGAAAGTTCCAACAGTTCATTTGAGCTTTCATAATCATACCAAACAAATGTGTAGGGTACAAATAAATGTTGTTGTTGTTGTTGTTGTTGTTGTTGTTGTTGTTGTTCTTATTATTATTCTTCTTCTTATTATTATTATTATTATTATTATTATTATTATTACCTACTGCAACCTTGACACCAGTGTCACAACAGCAACACCAGTGACTAAAGCATGAAAAATAGGGACCTGGTTTCATATAAATGAATATGAAAATGAAAGATTTAAAATTGTAAGATTAAAGGAAAATTTGTGCATTTCCCCACCTCCCCACACCGACCTCCCAATATAGTCTTAAGGGGCCAGATATGAAGTCCTACACATTACTTTATAACAGAAAATGATACTTTTTTAAAAAAAATCAACTTTTAAAAATACCTTATGCATAATGATTTCATTTGACATCTACAAGCCACCATCATAAACATTTAAATACTCATATAATCATAGCCATATGTGGAGCTATTCTCTTTGCAGTTACTTGGGAGACATTTTACAGAAGTCCCTACACATTATTTGCATTAACGTCAATTAGGTGAACAACCATAAAAGCAAGTGACATTTTGAGAAAATACACAGAAGCCTAAATTAATAACACGGGGCACAATACAGCTTGAGTTAGCAGCATGGTACATGAGGCCCATTGGAAAGGATCAGAAGGCACTGCCTTGTGCTGAGTTAGTCCATTGGCCCAGCTCAGTAGTACCAACACAGGCTGGCAGCAGCTCTCCAAGGTATTCCCCAGCTTTACCTGGAGATTCCAAGGAATGGACCTGGGACTTATGTCCTACCTCTGACCCTTTCGATGGGAGAGATTCAAGCATATAGAACATAGAATTGTAGAGTTGGAAGGGACCATGCCATCTAGACCAGGCATCCCCAATTGACAGCCCTCCAGATGTTTTGGCCTACAACTCCCATGATCCCTAGCTAACAAGACCAGTGGTCAGGGATGATGGGAATTGTAGTCCAAAACATCTGGAGGGCCCAAGGTTGGGGATGCCTGATCTATTCTAGACCCCACCATGCAGGAATATGCAGCCATCCCTTACAGGGATCGAACCTGCAACCGTGGCGTTATCAGCACCATGCTCTAACCAGCTGAGCTATCCAGGCTTGTTTAGCTCTTTCTTTTTTTATTAGTGGGACTTTAAAGTGCACAATTCTAGCCGCATCACACTGAAACATTAAATTAACTTACAAAATGTTGTAGGCTGATTCAGCCTCAGAGAGGCACAAAGGGAAGGCTAACTAGATGTATTGATATTATTTTGTGCCCTGGGCCTTATTCCTGACGTGTTGTGAATGATACATGAATTGCTTATTACAGGCAACAACAACTATTGTTCTTATTTATTTGATATATATACCCTGCCCTTCCTCCACAAGAAGTCTAGGGCATCACGCAGAGCAACTATAGGTTAAGGAAGAGAGACAACCTCATCCCTAAATGATAGTGTGCGGGGGCTGTCCCCCACATTTTTTCCAACGCATTTCGTTCCCTCCCGCCTTGTTCCCTCTGATTTTCACTCATCTTCCCAACATTCCTGTCTTTTTCTTTCGTTCCTTCTCTGTTATTTCCCTGCCTGCCTGTTCCTGATTTCTCTTGGTTTCTGAAAGTCCAGGGGGCAGGTGAGGGACAAACTGCTTGCGCAATAAGAGAGGGGCAAGAGAAAATAAACCCTGCATTGAAGGCTGGGCTTCAACTTTTCCTTGATCTCACTGTTGAGTAGCCCTTGCTTGTCCCCCCAGCTGTAAACGGATGCTTAATCCACTGGGATTAGGAAATCAAAAGGTGACTTCACGAGGTGAGCCTCAGTATACTGCCTTGTGTTCTGCTACAAAGTCGTAGAAACTGTCTACCTTAAAACAAACCTGCCTCGTGAGCTGGAAAGCACTGACCTTTGGTCTGATGATAAAAGGAAGAGCACGTAGGTTTCAGGGTAAGAGATATTCACATGGGAAGTCACGTCGTCTGAAGGCTGCAATCCTAAACACTTACTGTTTGGTTTGCAATCTGTTTATTAGCCTGCAACAACGCCTTTGGACTTTAACCCAAGATCTTACAAGTTTTTAAATATCGAGAGCCTTCGGTTCATCAGTTTTAATGGGTGTACTCTTGAGTGTGACATGTGGGTGGGTGTATATTATTGCCCTGCCTTCAACCCACATCAACTGTTTTCAGTTCCTCCTGCAGTGCGGCACCCAAGGCCAGTCCACATACGTTTTTATGGTTGTTTACAAGCCATTGAATCACCCTCGGTTTCTACTTGGAACAGCTTTCCTCTCCTCAGCTACGCCCTGCTCTAAATTATTCTCAGCTCCTTCATATGTACTATTTCAGTGCAGAGCCCAAAAGGCGAATGGGAATGTTCTTTTAAACATTTTTACCAAGGCAATTTTGTAATAGTAAACAAGCAAGATACTTTTGCTGTCGCCGCAAAAGCTACCCACCATGGCCTTGCAGACAGTCCTTGCATTCCAGCTCAGCTCTGCATTTACTAGCAACTTCAAAACAATCCTTGAACCATTCGAAGAGTTCCCATTTATATGGCTTTTGAAAAATGTCAGCCGAGCCCTTGTCTGGTGTCACCCAAGAATGCCAGTCTTTCTATTACGAGTAGCCTTTACTCATTTCCAGGAAAGTCGCCATGTTAGGGCCCTTCCACATAAGAGGATGATTGCAGAATTAATTGGTGTCACTCATGGACTTGAGTTTTTTGCACCATCTAAATGATGCCGCCATCCTCAAGATGCCAGTCATTACTTTTTTAAAAAAGTAATCTGCCTCTGAAAATTATAAGAATTACCACTCCTTCTCCACGTACACACACAACTGTCAATGCTGGAAAAAGGCCAAGACAACGGCTTCAGCCCAATGCATGAGTTAACAGTCATTCCATCTTCTCAGATATATTGTTCTATGAGCTGTCAAGACCAGACTTTCCAAGTGTCCCTATTTGCCAGTGACAGTCTCAGAGTTACAGAAGCTGTCCCAGTTTCTGATTTCATCCCATAATGTCCTGCTTTTCCTCTGTTGTTGTTTAGTCGTTTAGTTGTGTCCGACTCTTCGTGACCCCATGGACTAGAGCACGCCAGGCACTCCTGTCTTCCACTGCCTCCCGCAATTTGGTCAGACTCATGCTGGTAGCTTCGAAGACACTATCCAACCATCTCATCCTCTGTCGTCCCCTTCTCCTTGTGCCCTCCATCTTTCCCAACATCAGGGTCTTTTCCAGGAAGTCTTCTCTTCTCATGAGGTGGCCAAAGTATTGGAGCCTCAGCTTCAGGATCTGTCCTTCCAGTGAGCATTCAGGGCTGATTTCCTTAAGAATGGATAGGTTTGATCTTCTTGCAGTCCAGGAGTCTCCTCCAGCACCATAATTCAAAAGCATCAATTCTTTGGCAATCAGCCTTCTTTATGGTCCAGCTCTCACTTCCATACATCACTACTGGGAAGTCCGTATTTTCATCAGAGAAATGTTGGAGGGCATTGTGTTGTGTGACACACACACCCCAAATCAAGGAGATAAGTAACTTTACAACCTTTAAAAGGCAACTGAAGGCAGCCCTGTATAGGGAAGGTTTTTTTTAATGTTTAATGTTTTATTAAGTTTAATATATGTTGGAAGCAGCCCAGAGTAGTAGTTGTAATAACAATAATAGCAATAATAATAATTGAATAGGGTGTCCTTATTTCCATCAGAGAAATGTTAGAGGGTATGCGAGACTCAGGAGACATAACTGAAAACCTGATGATCTCTGGCACATATGCATGCTTGCTTACAACATTAAAGGAAGAAACCTCAGTAGCTCTCCAAAACAGCAAAATGAAAACCCTCCCAAAATACCTCGCCAGCACTTTAGCGGTGGAACACACCAGGGATAATGACTGCTCTTGGTAAATAAGGACGGTTGGGACATATGTCAAATAGCATTTCAATATACACGTCATCTCACCCTTAAAAACGACAACAAACATTTCGTTTAGTTTTCATGAGCAATTTACATTTCAGTTGAAGTTTCTGAAGAGGAGCCCTTTGGCACAGAATTTGCAAGCGAAACGCTGCAAAAGGTATTTCTCCCTCTCTCAGGGAACAGAGGTACAGGAGCCTTCTCTGTTCTGCCACTCCAGAGACATATGTTCTGCTATCCCACCAGTTATGAAGTGATTATTAGAGTGGCACAAACAGATTTTTTTTTAACTAAGTGAAGGTGCTATTTTCTCAGGTTCTGCGAGAACACACACACTAATTTTTACCCATCCAATCTGTTCTCTAGGAGCTCAATGTCCGCAGGGTTTATGAGGCCATTTTAGGTGTTGGAGTTTTAGCAACTTTTATAGGGTGCTACCTAACAGCAGAAGTTTGAAGGGTGGGGGGAGAAGTGGAAGAGAACAATACAAGTTTTAAAGTCTGCGGGGGAAATAATTTTAATACGAATTCAAAGTTATTCACCCAGACTTTGCCTTGATAATACAAACAAAGCCATACTTTAAAAGACAACTCTCTGAGGAAACCATGAATGGTCAACTGAAGCAGGGCCTCAGATTTATTATTTCAGATACAGTGGTATCCGTTGACGAACATTTCGGTTTTCGAACACCGTAAACCCGGAAGTAAATGCTTTGGTTTTCGAACACGCCTCGGAAGTCGAACATGCCATGCGGCTTCTGCATTGAGTTTTCCGTACTGAGGCTTCCATATTGAGTTTTCGGTTTTCGAACGTTTCAGAACTCAAACGGTCTTCCGGAACGGGTTGCGTTCAAAAACCGAGGTACCACACTGTATTTGTATAAACCTTAATATTCAGAATTTCTAAGCAGTGTGTCTAAAATCGTTTTTTATAAGAAAGATGTTGACTGAGAATTTTTGACATAAAATCCAGTAAGAATCAGACTAGTCTACAGAACAAGAATAGAAAAAGCAAGAGGAGAAAGAGAAAGAGAGAAAAAAGGAGAAAAAAATTTAAGGCCCTTTATCATATTTTTATCATATATATCCTATCATTTAACCACACACAGAGACCCTCCCATCTCCCACCTGGGACCCTACATCTTCTCGCTGGGAGACCCTTTCTATCCTGCATTTCATGCCAGGACCCCCCTTCTCTCTCTGACTGTTCCCTTCCCGTGTGTGTCCTCTTCAGTCCAATTTAAAGGACTCCTCTCTCCCACCCAAAAAAGCTTTTTATAAATGTTTAATACAGAGAATATGAACAATTAAAATTCATCATGCCAACAAAACTGAACTACCTTAACATGCCTGTTGAAATAAAGTCTTTGTCATGCACCAGAGGTTCAGCAAGGAGGGTGCCTGTCTAATCTCAGGTGGGTGGGAGTTCCACAGGCTTGGGCCCGCTATACTGAATGTACAGCTTCAGGTGCCATGCAGCTGAACTGGGGGGAGGGGAGGGGACCCACCAACAGAGACCCAGAAAACCTCAGAGTTTGGGAAGGGGTGTTAATTCAACTGTTAATGAATTTCACATTGACCAAATGAATTAAACAACTATTTGTTAAGAAGCTGTGGAATGAGTTAAAGAGGCTTGTTTTGTTTCTATGTGATCTGGTAGTTTATGAGGGCGCAGGAGCAGAGTAAGTAAATAATAATAAAAAAGTTGGCAACATCATTTTTAAATGCATGCTTTGACCTGTCACAAAGGTTTGGTTGGAGTGGTTAACAAATGTGTCCTATACCTGTAAGACCACCACAAACCACCTTTCTCTGGACACCCTAGCATTTGTAAATTTGGTGCATGGACCCCTTCAGAAATGTTAGAAAGGAATCCGTTGTTTAAATGGGCATTGGCAAAAGTCTCTCAAAGTTCTCAGAGGCCCTACTGCACCATATTTGATGAGCCGTAGGGAAATGTGCCCCAAATTGATTTTTCGCTGGGTCGCAAAGTTAAAAGTCTTGTCGTTTGCTCGTTTCTGTCTCCAGAGAAAAGACAAAAGTTGTTCCAGGGGAGGGGGACACACACCCAACTTTCTGACTTTTTAAGAAAACAGTGTCAGTGCGTCTGAGAACCGTCTATAGAATGAAACATCCTCTCTGCTAGAGGAAAAAGTATTAAACCAATGTTTCCAGAAATAGGTATTGGTTTGCACTGAGACAAATATACTTACCACTTCCTAATAAAGAATGTGCAAGGAGCCATTCTCTCTCTCTTCTGTTGAAACACCTCCGCAACATCTTCTTAGAAAATGTAACCACATGTGCTATCAAGCTTCTTGAACTGGGGTTTTAAATACAGTGATGGAGCGGTAAGTTCTGAAGTGCAGAAGCTCATCGTGATGCCCCCATAGCCACGTTCCCAAAGAGAGTCCAAAAGATGCAGGCAGCTGTGTTGATCCAAATACACACACACACATATATGTATACATACATACATACACACAAATATACACCCACCAAAAAGCAGCAGTACGAAGCATAATAGGATCAGCTCACAATCACCGAATAGATGTTTATAGAAGAAATTCAACTCGAAAGACAAATGGAGCTTTAACAAAAGCTGAAATGAAACCTTTTGATTTTAATTAGAAATGGAGACAATCTTGCAGAGCGGTGTTGCCATTTAAACAGATAACCAAGGAAAGGAAAAAGTATCTAGCCTCCGCATTAATGTTTTCCTCATTCTCTGGCTTCCCTCCATTCTGAAATTTACTAGACTAGTCTAGCAAACCTCTGTGACTTGGTGCAACTGTGTGAAAGAGAAGGATCCAATGGAAATACTTTTCATGAAGGTCATGCTGTGGGCACATTTAGCATTCTTAGATAACAAATGTTATAGTGCTGAGCTCTTGCTAAGCCCTCAGCATGCTTGCTGAAGACGAGAGCCCATGAAGTTATTAGCTGCTATCACTGATCAATGACCAGTGGTGGAGACTTGGGCAGGCATGACCTTGAGATTGTTCAATGGGATTTTCTACATCAGCATAGTGCCTGAGGCTCCCCTGGGACCCTCTTGAGATGGCTGGAAGTTATTGTGTGTGACGCTGATGTTGGAGAGAATGGCCTGCTAATCTAGGCACTGTGAAAGCAGAACCCCAAACAACAGAATAGGCAATTTGTCCCAGAAACCATTTGGATGGGTGCTGCAATATCAGCCCATCATTTACTGAACTTCATGAAGGTAAAAAATAAAATGAAATCCAGCATTATAGCCACAGGTAGTTTCTTGTTCTACTAGCAATCCTAGGGATGGCAATGGCTTTTGGATAGGTTCACAGGCAGACAGTGGCCATGTGCATAAAGTCAGTATGTTTGTGGGGGGTCAGTTCCAACAGCCAAGTGGACATGGGGTCAAGAACAAGGGTTGCTGCCACAATCCTGCTCCTTCAGGTGTGTTCAGTGTGCCTACAGTCAGTGCTTAAAGAAGGCTTAGCATGTGCACCTTTAAAATACTGTGATGTGTTTGTGGATGCTAGACTTCTCCTAAATCCCTAGGACCAATAGGTGCTAGAATTCAATTAAGGCTTGGGTGTCAAAAGCTAATTGGGAGAGGCTAGTCTCCTGTGTGAGATGATAGCTAGACCTGGGTGTATTTGGGCTGTGTGTTAAGCCTTTTTAACCCTCCAGAATTAGCACGTGTGAAAAGCTAACTTACCAAACTGTGTATTAAAGGTAAAGGGACCCCTGACCAGTCGTGACCGACTCTGGGCTTGCAGCACTCATCTCACTTTATTGGCCGAGGGAGCCGGCGTACAGCTTCTGGGTCATGTGGCCGGCATGACTAAGCCGCTTCTGGCGAACCAGAGCAGCACATGGAAATGTCGTTTACCTTCCCGCTGGAGCGGTACCTATTTATCTACTTGCACTTTGACGTGCTTTCGAACTGCTAGGTTGGCAGGAGCAGGGACCGAGAAATGGGAGCTCACCCTGTTGCGGGGATTTGAACTGCCAACCTTCTGATTGGCATGTCCTAGGCTCTGTGGTTTAACCCACAGCACCACCCACATCCCAAACTGTGTATTAGGCACTTCTAAATCTTAGGGAATCAACATGGCTTAAGAACTGATCAAGACAGATTAATTTCCTTGTAGGTGGTTGCCTGGAGGTAATGACCCATCAGCACACAGTAATGATATATGTGTAAATAAACCATATGTTATTAAGACATCAGTCTCTGCTGTGCCTCACTTTCCAAAAAGAAACATAAACCCGGGTAGGCGTGCCTGGTATCCCTGGAATCTTGCACTGCTGTCGATATTGGGGTGGCATGTAACAATACTTTTGCGGGAAATTTATTGTACTTAATTTCACTTTCCCCAGTATCTTCCCTGTAACTTTAGAAATATTTCTGTCACAGCAAACATTTTCGACTGAAATTTACCTGTTGTACAATCTGAGGAATAATATGCACGGTCCTTCATTTCAGACACTGAACAATGGAACCAAACTTGTTCTCTGGGAAGTCTGTAAGAAAACAGAGAGTGGTTTTTCAAGCCAGTCAGCATTGTGCTTTGATGTCTGAGAGCACACAGGCGCTGAACAGGAGCTCAGCATCACTGATATTAAGCGAGTGCAATGTCTCTGGTGGGTTCTTTTCGTGGAATCAAACAGACTCCTCCTCAATCTGCCAGGACTTTAAATACAGAACAGCCTGGCCTGCAAAGGATGCTTAGCCAGTCTTGAATTATCAGATTGCTGAAAGAAACAAGACTGCAAAGAATTGGAATATTGAGTAGGAGAGACGGGGGGGGGGGGCAACCCACCGAGCTGTTTCACTGTGTGTGTCCTCTGTGCAATAAGAAGGGGGTAAAACATCTTTGCAGATTCAACAGAGCTATGATACATGTACGTCGTATCTTATCAAAAAATGTTCAGCAGTTTGTGTCTATGTGTGTTTGCAGGAGATTGCTAGAGAGAGATCTGTCTCTGCACCACTAAACGTGCTTTGCTGTTGAAGCAGCAGATATCCTTGATTAATAACAAAAGGGTTTTCTCTTCTCTTCCCCCTGCCTCCCCCCCCCCCCGCCTCTTAGGGATCAGAGCCGTTTCCCACCCTCTATATGCAAACCCAGCAACACAAACTGTGTCCATTAGCATTTCAAGGAACTTCCTACTAAAGAGCGGCAATAAAGCTCCTCTCCGTGGGTAAAATCCATTTTGTCCTCTCTGGTGACATCTGTTCTAACTTCTCAAGCCAAAAAGGAAACCAGATAATGCCACAGAGCCTTTTGATTTACTGTATTGGCACTTGCAGCAATGTGTCGAACTCTTAAGGCATGTAACCCTACTGGACGTACATGGCTGTGTCAATGGGAACATCTGCATATTCCCACCACATAGTGTGAACGGAAGGAATTCCAGAACTCCCTTCCCCGGCTTTTTTACTGTCACATTTCCATTCTTGCTTGGTCTGCTGTTGGTCAAAGTGCATTTTAAAACACCACCACCACCACTTTTGCTGTGTATAGGCTGCTGGTGGTTTCCATACCCTTCAACATTTATCCAATGAAAATAGGGACATCTATTATTATTATTTAGTAGTAGTAGTAGTAGTAGTATACCCCGCCCATCTGACTGGGTTGCCCCAATCACTCTGGATGGCTTATAAAAACATAATAAAACATTAAACATTAAAAAAACTTCTCTATACAGGGCTGCATTCAGATGTCTTCTAAATGTTAGACATTGGTACCTCAGGTTAAGTACTTAATTCGTTCCAGAGGTCTGTTCTTAACCTGAAACTGTTCTTAACCTGAAGCACCACTTTAGCTAATGGGGCCTCCCACTGCCGCCGCACGATTTCTGTTCTCATCCTGAAGCAAAGTTCTTAACCCGAGGTACTATTTCTGGGTTAGTGGAGTCCGTAAGCCTGAAGCGTATGTAACCCGAGGTACCACTGTATAGTTACTTATCTCCTTGGCTTGTGGGGTTGTATAAGAAGAGGAGGAGGAGTTTGGATTTGATATCCTGCTTTATCACTACCCGAAGGAGTCTCAAAGCGGCTAACATTCTCCTTTCCCTTCCTCTCCCACAACAAACACTCTGTGAGGTGAGTGGGGCTGAGAGACTTCAGAGAAGTGTGACTAGCCCAAGGTCACCCAGCAGCTGCATGTGGAGGAGTGGGGAAGCGAACCCGGTTCACCAGATTACGAGTCCACCGCTCTTAACCACTACACCACACTGGCTCGCCATACCATCCAACATTTCTCTGATGAAAATATGGATGTCCTACCATACCCTCTACCGTTTCTCCAATGAAAGCAGGGACGTCCTGAGGAAAGTGGGACATTCTGGGATCAAATCAGAAACCAGGACGCCGTCTGAAAATCTAGGACTGTCCCTGGAAAATAGGGACACTTGGAGGGTCTGGCTCTGAACCCCTCTTTTCCCACAAGTTGGCTTTCATTCATAATAATAGTCAAGCAGACAATCAGCCCAGATGACCAATTACCAAATGGTAACTTGCTACAATACGTATGCAGACTTTACAAAATGTTGGGCTTGAATGGTAGCCTGCACCAACCCAGAATTATTATTTTTTGGTGTGGGGGGCAGAGAGACATGGGAATCTTGGTATTTACTTCAGTTACAGACGCCCGAACAATGCAGGATAAAAGACCAAATTTAAAACGTGCAGGATTCTTACTCCTTTATACCATCTGTGCTGTATAGGCCTTAGCTCTTTTACATTGGTCATCCTGGGAACAAAAAGCTGAAAGCAGATTCCAGCAGTTTTTCCATTCACTATTCATTCAGAGGTTCATCAGCTCCATATGGATTCAGCCAACTGCTGTGTTAAATCAGAGGCCTTTCCCAGAATTGACATGGTAATGAAGTCATGGTATTGCTTGCAGAAAAGGCCTCTATAGGTATTCTACTCTTGAACAAACCCAGCCTTTTCACCCTATTCAGTCCCCAAAATAGACTCAAACCATTCCAACATCTGTGAACTGGGTTCTGGCCGTTGGGTGAGCGATATGTTTTATGACACCAACATGTTTTAAGCGCTGGTTAACACGACTCCTACATGGTCCTCGGAAAACGCAACAGATTCCAATATATGGGGCACTTGCTAATACGTACTGCATCCCCTTTTTATTCATTTGCACTCAAAAACATATTTAAAGCTTGCGCTTGATCTGTAACCCGAGATATTCGGTGTGAGTCTTATAAACATTGTCTTTGCTAAAGAACACGCTGAGGGTTAAAAAAATAAAGCTGCCAAATAGTTTAAAGAACAAATAGTTTGAATGACCTTCTAATAGCTAATGAACCAGTGCCTTTTTCATAGCTGTCAACGTTTCCCTTTTTTAAAGGGAAATTCCCTTATTCCGAATAGAATTCCTCGCAAGAAAAGGGAAAAGTTGACAGCTATGGCCTTTTTATCAAGTTGCAAAAAAAGTTTGCATTCAGAGTGATCAAGGAAAAGGGAAATGCCGTACATGATTTCGTAGTACACCATCTACAGATCAAGCAGACCCTGATCAAGAGATAGTGATTATTAGCTTGTGAAAGCACATTTCTGCTTATCCATCACCCGCTGGATTAGTAGCGGCACATGCAAAAGCCACATGCGCAAAACCATGTGAATGTGGTCCACAATGCTAGATCTCTCCCAAGAGTCAACCAGATGCCTGGGTCTTAAGGCACTCAGGATTTTAAAAGGTGAGCACCGGCACTTTTGAACCGAGCCCAAATACTATGCAACAATTGCAAAAATGCAAATGTAACATACAGGCAGCTGCAGATTACAACAACTGCTTACTGCTGCACAAGTAAGGGCTAATAAGCACAGACGTGTCTCTCTCCACCCCAACTTCTTTTTCTTTGCTTTTACAAAGTCAGTGAGAGGTTGGGAGGAAGTGCTCTGGCATTCATGAAAGGAAAGACACATGCACACAGGTGTGGTCGACAGATGGATCTTGCATAGTAGATTACTCAGAAAAGTTTACTTCCCATGATGTAATTCTACTGCCTGAACATTAAGATGACAACTGCTGAGTCACACAGAACTGGCCGGTCCCATGTGATCCTGCGCTTGCAAATTCTTTGAAGTTTAAAGCACAACCGGATAGAAAACTCAGAAGAACTTTGCTTTAAAAACACAGCAAGGGACAGAAGAGATGGTCTGCGTGTCACGTTAAACCACAGTTTACTCTAAAGCAGCCTTGGCTTCCCCAACTGTGGTTTGCTTGAAAGAAACAAATCACAAATGCTGCGTCATGCGCCATGCTAAGCCAGCCTCTGTTTTTCCTCCTCATCCACCTTACTTTCTGGTATAGCACAAACAGGAGCAGCAAAGGAGCGAATCAGGACACTGCTCTCACACATTACACTATAATTTAAAATAAATTCTGGTTTAATGTGACATCTGAAGCTGGTCTCTGTCTTAAATATAATGAATTATACTGTATAGCTGTTTTCCTTATTAAAAGAGGAGAGGAGAGAGGGAGAGATTACATATCAGAGACAACAGTTGCATACTAGTACATAGATTTACCCTGCATAGTTAAACATTCAAAACAATTCTGTAAATTTTTGTGCGGACCACATAAAAGTTGTCTGCAATAAAGGGTGCTTCACTTTTTTAAAAATGTGAATAGCAGGCTCTGGTAAATCTGCCCCTCATTTCTCAAATGCTTATATTTAGTTGGGATGGCCATGACAAAACAAATAGTTAAGATAAGCATCAGTGGGACACATTAGCTCAGTTGGTTAGAGTGTGGTGCTGACAACGTCAAGGTTGCAGGTTTGATCCCTGTACGGGGCAGCTGCATATTCCTGGACTAGATGGTCTTCAGGGTCCCTTCCAACTCTATGATTCCAAGAGAGGCACATTTCTGAGTCTCCCCCCACCACCATAATTTCAGATACAACAGTGCATTTGCTCTTTGCTCTCAAATTCATTGGGTTAGGCACCGCATTAGCACTGAATTTCGGAATACTCATTCCTGGCTTTGGTGCCAAGAAAATCGTGATGAAGGGTGAGCAAAGATATTGGGTCTACAGCAGGAGATTCTTTCATGCAGTCTTGGTGTGTGTGGCAAGAAAAAACCTTCTCAACCATAGTTTCTTAAGGGGCTTAAAAAAAAAATCCTATTGTACAATGTTGGCTGAATTTTCTTTCTAGTGTTAATAATGCTGCCTTTACATAGCTAAAAAATAATAATTGCCACTGCCGTATTTGGAATTAGTGAATTAGCCAACTGAGGGCATCAGAGACTGTTTGTTTAAGTCCCGTACAATATTCTGGGAGTTTAGCTTCTTTCAGCAGCTATATTTTAACATGAACCAACCAAATGACCTTTGTTGCTGTGCCCCAACTTTTACCTCAGGCTGTACCCACCAATGCAAAGTGGCCCCTGAAAGGCTGATCAGGAAGAAATGTGGCCCTCAGGATAAAAATTTCTACCATAACCTGATTCCTGAGAGGGAAAGCAGGAGTCTCCATTATGCCAACTGCCCATGAAACATGTTGCAGATGGCATTGTATGAGATCTTCAGACATCACAAGAGGTGAACACAGTGTGGATTTGAAACAGGAGCGTGGCATCCCAATGGTTGGTTTCCTATTAACTGTGGGAAGAGAGAATGAGGTTCCTGTGTCCTTGCCCACATCCTTGAGAAGAAACCAGGATCTTCCGTGTTATCACCAGTTTTCGTTGCCTTTGTCAATATATAAAAACACTCGGGTCAAACTTTACAGGCTCCTTTGATAAACAGCAAGGTGGCTCTTTCATAGAGCGTTGCAAGTTTCCAGGGATTAGGGTGAGTAATTCTCCTATTGTTGTTGAAAGCCGCCATCAGTCATACTCAATGTTAGTCAACTGGTCCAAGCACATTGCAGAGCAAGAGCTGGGATAGTGGTTTGATCATAAAGAACCCAAATAGAGGCTGAAAGAAAGGGAAACAAGGTAGTATTCGTAGGCAATATATATATATAAGCTTCTCCTCCCCCAATTTTGCTTAATTTACTGCATTGTTTTTTGAGTTAGGGTACATTTTCCATCCATTTTCTTTCGGCATTCTTCGTCTCCCTGATGGCCGACCCCTGCAGTACCTCCCATGCAGATCTTTTAAAAATGCTAGACATTGACTTAACAGGGAAGGATGTTTGAGAGTTATTAAATGGAACAGTCTCCAGGATCAGGAAAGGAGTTGGATCTGACAGAGTTCCCAAGCTGCTTATACATGTCCGTGTGAATAACATTCTTATTAATCTGTTAATTCTAGACTCAAGACGCATTAGCACGGAGACAAAGAAAAAGGTTAGCCCTCTCCTCGCGCAGCCTCGGGCCTTGTTTGCTTATCACACTTCGCTGCACCACCTCCCTGAAGACAGACCAGTGTGTCTTCATCTACCGCAAACATAAATAATCACTTGGTTTCGGCCTTGGTTGTTAAGAGAGTTTGGATTCTCTGCTACAAATTGATGCTGGTTGAATCCACGTCCATCATGCATCTCACTTGCATTGCCTGGCTTTTTGAAGGCAAAGGAAGCTCATCTAGCTCAGTACTGACTACACTGACTGAGAGCGGCACTTCTCCAGATTTTCAGGCATGGTTCAATCCCAGCCCGACCTGGAGATGTTGGAGATTGAGCATAGGGTTTTTCCAAGCAAGGGAGATGGTCTGCTGCTGAGCTAGTCCTTCCCAGGAAAGCATGGCTTCATGAAGCATAGCATCTCAAGGTTGAAGGTTCGATCCCCCTATGGGACAACTGCACGGCAGGGGGTTGGACTAGATGATCCTCAGGGTCCCTTCCGACTCAACAGTTCTATGATTCTATTATCTCTCTCTTTCAAGAGAAATAAAGTGTCTCGGGGTTTTTATTTTTTTAGGTGTAGAAACAAAGCTCATGAAAAATGATGCTGTTCCCTATCCCGTCCTTTTTGCCACATTTGCTTCATTGTACGTGCCTAATCTAATAGCTGGGCAATATCCATTCAGTGGTAGACACACATTCAGAAGGGAAACTTTTTTGCCAAGGGGATTTAAGACCTAACTTCCCCATGGAATTCCTGCCTTTTCTTCCACAGTTATGTATCGCTCTGTGGAACTCTCGGCGACCAGATGGAGAGGCTGTGGCCTCAAATTAATTTGCAGTGGTGCTTATTCTTCTTGGGTTACACAAGCGCAAAAAGAAGGTCTTGTTCTGCATCTGAAAGATTCTGGGGCTTTGGCAAGCCACCTAAGGAAGAGAACATCAGGAGCATGGCACAAGGATGTGCACAGGAGTTAACAACAACAACAACAACAATTTATTATTTATACCCCGCCCATCTGGCTGGGCTTCCCCAGTGGCTCTGGGCAGCTTCCAACAAAATATTAAAATATCGTAATGCATCAAACATTAAAAGATTCCCTAAACAGGGCTGCCTTCAGATGTCTTCTAAAAGTCTGGTAGTTGTTGTTCTCTTTGACATCTGGTGGGAGGGTGTTCCACAGGGCAGGTGCCACTACCAAGAAGGCCCTCTGCCTGGTTCACTGTAACTTGGCTTCTCGCCGGGAGGGAACCTCCAGAAGGTCCTCAGCGCTTCTCCTGCAGGTCTTGCCCCCATTGAAGTACAGTGGTACCTCGGGTTACATACACTTCAGGTTACATACCTTTCAGGTTACAGACTCCGCTAACCCGGAAATAGTGCTTCAGGTTAAGAACTTTGCTTCAGGATGAGAACAGAAATGGTGCTCCAGCGGCGCGGCGCGGCAGCAGCAGAAGGCCCCATTAGCTAAAGTGGTGCTTCAGGTTAAGTACAGTTTCAGGTTAAGTACGGACCTCCGGAACGAATTAAGTACTTAACCCGAGGTACCACTGTAGTTACTGAGACTGAAGGTTTTGCAGTCGTCGTCCCCCCAAATAATGAAGAAAAAACCTTGTTTACCAGAGAAGTAGGCCAGTCACTAGGAGCAGTGGCAGCTCTTTCAAATCTCCTTAACCTCCCAGCCCCAAGAATATATATATATGTAAATGTTTATGCATCTATCAAAAAATGGTGATCGGATACTGACAAAAAGAGCCTAATTGATCTTTTGCAACTATTGTACATTTAAAAAAACAAAAACTCTGCCATTCCCAGCAGACTACATACTGAATTAACTTCAACTTTCCATCGGTCTAGCCTGGAAGGTTCAACTGAAAAAAACAACACATTAAAGTAGACTACTGCATTGTTCCATTTCTGCAAATAATCCAGTTATTCCACATCTAAGACAGGAATCGTTTCGAATTTGTAAGCCTGAGTTTTAAACCTCCTGGAAATAATTGTTTCCTACAGAGCACCCCTGAGCTGTGCAAGCATGTTGCCATGAGCCAGGATTGTTGAAATTATATGGGAACCCTGCAGGCAACAGCTGGGTCCTGCTACATATTCGAAAATGACCGATAATAAGCACCATGGAGATTCCCTTAATACCAGTAATAGCAGTGTCAGTTAAGTCACCCCGCAGAAAGCATGTGTTTTACGTTACTCTCCATTCCTGACTTGGTGGGTCAGAATGGGGAGCAAGCAATGCCAGTACAACAAACTTCCAAGTTTACTGAGAATTAGCTCATATATATAATCTGGAGATCTCAAACTTCCCCTAAAACTTTAAGCTGTGATGATGATGATGATGATGATGATGATGATGATGATGATGACAGCGACATAAATAATGCAGGGCACTTCATGCAAATCCGTCTTAACCCCACCCCTGCTGCTAAGAAATAAAGGCTGGCTCCCCGCTCAAACAGTCACCTGGAACATATTTCTGAGATCTCCTTGCTAATCCAATTTCCCATCCGCCACCCCAAAACCCTCCAACGAAATTGAAACGGCATTCTATGATCCTCATTCACTGGGGTCCTGCCCCTTGAAATCTGTCACCGAGGCTGTGGTGAACGGCACAGAAAGATGCTTTTCGAAAGAATCGGGAGGTATTATTTTCAATTTAGTTTGTCCTATAATTCCACGAGCTGGTATCTGCAAGCAATTTTCCAACAGACTATTCCCCTGCCTAAAAAGCAGAGACATCACCTTGCCAACAAAGGTCTGTATAGTTAAAGCTATGGTTTTCCCAGTAGTGATGTATGGAAGTGAGAGCTGGACCATAAAGAAGGCTGGTCGCAAAAGAATTGATGCTTTTGAATTATGGTGCTGGAGGAGACTCTTGAGAGTCCCATGGACTGCAAGAAGATCAAACTTATGGCTTTAAATGCCTGCAGCAAAACCTCAGAATTGAGTCAGTAGCTAAAAGGAAACCAATGCAGATTTTTCTCAATACGATGTAATATGTGTAAAAGCTCAGCATCCTCAGTTGGTAGAGCACAAGACTCTTAATCTCAGGGCCACCGGTTTGAGCCCCACATTAGGCAAAAATATTCCTGCATTGCAAGGGGTTGGACTAGATTGATGACTCTAGAACTGAGATTCTATCCTCGCAACTGCATATTATTGCTATTACAGTTTTTGCCATACGGTTGGTATGTGGGTCAATCTTAAGGAACAATTTGATGCATCTCAACAGACAAAGATCTTGTCCATCATCTCTTTTAGACTGGTCTCTGCCAGCATGTTGGAGAATTCTTTAAAAGTCATCCATTGGTGGTATTTTATCGCCAGTGTGTTTGGTTCTTATTGCAAGATCAGGATCTCCCTTGTGCTGGTGGGGCAGTGGAGACACATGGTGGAGTCCATTTTGGAAACAAATTATTGCAGAAATCAGTCCACTTAATGTGATTTTAGGCCCTACTCTATGTGTTCTATCTGTTTTTGGTAAAGACAATGTGGATCTTATATGTAAACAGTTAATTGTATATCTGGCAGCTGCTCATTTAGTAATCGCTCAGGGCTGGAAAGATGCTTCGTGTTATACCTAGATAACTGGTTCAAGAAAGTTATGTTTTCTGCTATTTCACAGACATTGACATGTAATCTTTGTGTTGCTAGGGGTTACGCCAGGTCAGGCATAGGCAAACTCGGCCCTCCGGATGTTTTAAGACTACAACTCCCATCATCCCTAGCTAACAGGACCAGTGGTCAGGAATGATGGGAACTGTAGTCCCAAAACATCTGGAGGGCAGAGTTTGAGGAAGCCTGGGTTACGTGACCCTTCTGATTTCACCTCTGTTTTGGGAGTTATTTATTAAATGTATGACATCTGCAGTGACACAGTTGGCAAATTCCTTCAAAATATGATAGTTTGGCAGCATCTGTAAACAGGCAAGACCCTTCTTCCCACCCCCCCCTATTTTCTTCATTGTAATTTGTTTTTATACCCTATTTATAATTTTATAGTTTTATAATTTCATAATTGTACCCAGTTGATTTACTTCCTGGTTGTTGTTGTTTTTTAAAAAAAATCTTTTTACTTTATCATCAAAATTTCATTGTGTTGTATACATATGATTTTGTTGTTAATGTCAATTTTTCTTTTTGTGTATATCGTCTTTAGAAAAACAATGTAATGTAATATATAGATCACTGTCACAATGTGTCAGGCCTCAGGGAATCCGATCCCCCTCTCCCCACCCCCATGGCAGGCTGCCAGGGATTAAGTAGACAAGAAAGCTCTTACCAAGTCCTTTATTCAATATTCACAGAGAGAGGCTTAGGAATGCTGTCTCTTGAGAGTACTGGCATTGCTCCGGGTAATCTCCACTCCCCCTTCCCTTCTCATTCGTCCCCTGTGCCGCCGCCCCCTTACGGGGGCAGCTTAAGGCCAATTGCCTCTTAGCTCTTTGCTCTCCCACTTTCACTGCTCGCCAGGTTCTGGGAGAAGGGAGGTCTGGAAAGCTTTCTAGTGATGACGTGACAGCCAGCTGCTCCTGCTTGGCTTCTCCCCCCTCCTCTTCCCCTGTTATTTCCCAGCTTTGCCCCTCTTCTACCTCTGAGCCGTGCCCTTCTGCAAACCA